ATTTTTAATTAAATTTTATATGTATATTTATTATTGAATTTTTATTTTAATAATGACATTTATTAAAAATTTGATTTAATTTTATCATGCTTCTAATGTATAATAATATACATAGTTACATACAATTAATAAAATATATACATATTATATTTTATATATTATGTGTGTTACAATTAATATTATACATTGAAAGTGAAATAAAATGAAGTTTTGGACAAATGTCATTACTAGAATAAAAATTCAGTAATAAATAATGACGTTACATCATTAATTCATAAAAAGTTGACTTATAATATTGACTCATAGTCAACTTATTGTCGACTAAAAGTCGACGTACTCGCCATAACCTAATCGATATCGATATTATAATATTAACTAAAAGTCAACTTATTGTCGGCTAAAAGTCAACATAGTCAACATAACCTAATTAGCAATGTCGGCTTATAGTTGCCATTAAGTTGACTAAAAGTCAACTGACATGGCTGACTTACAGCCGACTATAGTCGAGACATTTGTCGACTGTTAGTCGGCTATAAGTTGACATTTAGTCTGACTTTGAAGTCGACTTTAGACTCCTTCTGCCGACTGACAGTCGACTTCGTGCTGTGTGGGCTATTTGACAGTGGAGTTGAATTTGACATATATCCATTTATTTCCGTCGATACATTTGACGCGCTAATCGATAGTCTAGCTAGTTGCTTATTCATAGGTATAATCTATATATCGTTGTTTACTGATAAAGCGGCCGTTGAGGTAGAGGAAGAGAGGATCCTCTCTGGTAGAGGTATCCTTCTCCGACATGGCTCTGATTCATGGAGCGTCCAACTCGCGACCAATCAGGAAGCACGCGCATGCGCAGTGGATGAAAAACACCAGAGGCACAGACATCCAGGGCCACGAGGAAAACCGACGACCCAACACACAAAAATACCTCAATCCTCTACCGATTTGATGCAAGAATTCAAACCAATTAATGAAAAAGCAAGCATATAAAGCTTTGATTGCCTGGAGCTGGAAAAAGAGGCCTCGTGGGGCATAAAGCGGCAGAAAGCAAACCCCAATAACGGAGCGCACAAGAATACGTCGAAAGCAATACTCACGAGGGGAGAGAGAGAGAGAGAGAGAGAGAGAGAGAGAGAGAGAGAGAGAGAGAGAAATGCTTGGCACCAATTTGAAATTACATTTCGTGTTCTGCGATTATTTACTTACCCGCTTCGCCACCTCTTCGTTGTCGCAGCGCACCTTCGGCCGTCTCAGCAATTCGGCCAACCCGTCGAGATTGACCGCGGCCGACGAGTCGAATCTGGATATCAACTCTATGTAATGCAGAATGACGTTGTTGCTTTGAACCTTTTGCATCGGCTGGCAACGCAGGAGATCCGCCAAGCTGACCTGGGTCACCACCGCTTTCGTGCCGCCCGAGATGACGCGTACCCTCTCGTTGGACACCAGCACTTTAAGGTTCTCCGAGCCGCTGCACAGACACTCGTAGGCGACGAAGAGCTCGGAGTAGTCGCGATTGTTAATGCTGTACAGGAACTCTTGGCCCTCAGCCTGCTGACGATTGTACGGCGGTAGCAATCCGGTAGAACCGCTGACGACACGCGGCGGCCGGTCACGCTTTGGTATTGCGCGATGAGCGCTGTTTATGAGAAAAATTTATTTAGACGTGAAGAAATATTCGACAGAGGGACACAATTATGATTATAACATGATATAATCATATCTACCTTCTACTTGTCTCTCGTACAGCACTAGCTGTCTCCGTTGCCAGATCCAAGACACCAACGACGGGTTTCGTTATTGTGCCTACTACGCCTCTTCCAAAACCCGCGAAGAAGCCCTGAGATTTTACATCG